GCTCTGCGCATGCTCCGCCGCGCCCGGTGCATGCTGGGAGGTGTAGTCCGTGCCCGCCACTGCGGCCTCAGGCCCCGGCCTGCAGGAGCAGCAGGGCCCGCCCTCCCCACCACACTTGGGGCCTCGACCTCTTCCCCAGTCAGAATCGCAAAATCTTTCTCACCTGGGCTGATGGAGGGATTTTCAGTCTGCCTCCACCCAGAGCAGCTGGCTGCCCCGAGCTCAGGGTGCCTGGCGTGGGCAGCTCTGGGTGCGTGGTGCCTGTTCGGAAGCTATCCTAATTGCCGTTCACGTTCAAGTTGTTTAGGAGGGAGAGGTGTAAACTGAGACAGTGGCAACTGACCTTTATCATACCGCAACTGTTATGTCCAACCTGCCAGCTTGGCTGAGTATGAAATGAATATCACAGTGGATGAAGCTAGAAGCTAAATTTGTGTCTTCAGACTGATAACCATCTTAAGTATTAGACTGGGGAAGCACTTACCGACAGCCTCTTCCTGCTGCTGACCTGGGCTGAAGACATCCCATGGTTTGTAAAGCTCCGCACTGCTACCTTTCGATTGTGTACAGAGGGACCATGAGCAGGGCTGGGTTACCGGTGATGTTAGTGCAGCTGAAACGGGGTTGAGCTCAACATAGCTCCGCTTGGGCTGGAAAATAAGCTTAGTGGAAAGTACAGCCAGGGACTGCTCTTAGCAAGGAGAGAGTTGTAGTGGAGGTAGATCTAACCCTTCGCTGCTTGGTCTGACTGCCCATTCCCCTGCCTTGAAGCCAGTTGTGTGAGAACTTCTCCACGTCTCTAAAGCACTGTTGCTTTCTCTCTGCCTGGCTCAGCATGACCTTGCGATTGGGGTTTATATATTTAGCTCTTCTAATTTGGTTTAAAAGGTGCATATTTAACCTGCGTATGTTCTTATTACTGATTCTTTTGGGAATTCTTTCCCATTTCTTCTGATTGTTAGCTGTGCTTGTATGGTGCTATTTGCCTCAATGACACAAAGCCCATGAATTCTGAGCAGGCTTTTGGTGCTGCAGAATACAAAATGAGTTGTCATAATTAACATCACAGAAGGACAAACCTATTAAAGAATTTATTTCTCCTTCAAAGCCCTCAAGCAGAAGGAGGGAGATCATGTTCACATTTTTTTATTTAATCGCCATCATTTATCTAGAAACTTACTAAATTCTTCCATGCACATGATGGAAGCTTGAACAAAATCCCATCCTGTTATCAAGGTTTTTTTCTCATGTTGGAATTGAGGAAGAGCCCAGCATCCCTCCAGCATTCACTGATGTTACAAGGGAGATTTCCTGTTGTGTCTTGAGTCCTGGTGGCTTCTAGGATCTGAAAGTGAAGACAATCTTTTTTGTTCTTCATCTTGGCAGTCCCACCGCAAGTTCTCTGCTCCCAGGCATGGCCACCTGGGCTTCCTCCCCCACAAGAGAAGCCGTCGCCACCGAGGAAAGGTGAAGACATGGCCTAAGGATGATCCCAGCAAACCAGTCCACCTGACAGCTTTCCTGGGCTACAAAGCTGGCATGACACACACTGTGCGGGAGGTGCACAGGCCTGGGCTCAGTAAGGCTTAGCTGATGGAAGCAGGGAGCCGTATCCAGGAGGGAAATGAGGGAACAGACCCGTTGGTGGGAAAGGCTGCTCATGGGGATGGGTGGTGGAGCACTATGCTTCCAGGCTATCTCCTGTAATGCTGTCCAGATCTTGGGTGGCCAAAGGCCACCTCACGGCCAGTGTGAGCTGAGTCTGTGGGTTTCTGGGAAGTCCCCACACCAGTATGGTGACCGGGGCTTTATTGGATCCTGCTGGCAGAAGGACTCTACAGCCCAACTACCTGACAAACCCTGCACTTGAAGCATCTTGCTGGGAAAGTTTATATAATGTTGCCCTCTGGGATACCCACAGGATTGGAGCCAAACTCCAGGGCAAGAACCATCCCATGTTCTGCTTCCCCCAGCCTGGGGATGATGGGTTAAAGTGTGCTGGGCCACAGGGTCAAACCTGTACTGGGCATCAAATATTGCATGGTCCTCCACCCAGGTGGGAGGTGGAAGGGCTGAGGCTGGCTGTAAGAGCAGAGTGTGACCTGCTCACTGGCCATGAATGGCTCCAGGGAATGACCTGATCCTAGATAATGCTGAGCATCGTTTCCCTTTGATGTCTTGCAGAGATCTCCAAGAGAGAAGAGGTGGAGGCCGTGACCATCATTGAGACCCCGCCGATGGTGGTGGTGGGAGTCGTGGGGTACATAGAAACACCAAAGGGCTTGAGGAATTTCAAGACTGTTTTTGCTGAGCACATCAGCGATGAGTGCCGACGGCGCTTCTACAAGAACTGGTACGTGGCTCTGTGGCTGGGGAAGGTCACTGTATATGAGGAGTTCCTCGTAGATCTTCCCCGCAGGCAATCCCTGGTGCCCAGCCCTTGCAAACAGCTCAGCTACTGGCAGCTGGCTCTGAGGTGGAGTGAAACTGGTATTTATTTAGTCATGCACAGAGATACTGCAAACAGCTTGATGCTGGGAATCAGCATATGCATATGTAAATTTATTCTAATAGTTGAACTAAGTTAGCTCTCCATGATATCGTATGGCAGTGCGTGCTGCAGGTTTGTTTTCCTCTGTGGAGGTCAGGCCCCTCTACTCTTCGTTAAATTGGAATACATGAGCTGAGGCACCAAATGAAGGGAGTAGAATCAGATTTGTCAGGGGAAAAATTGATGCAGAGTGTGGCCTCTGGCCCTTGTAAACATCGACACCCTAAATCCCACACCAGCAGAGAGGAAAATGGAAACATGAATTTCATAACTGTAGGAATCGTGTCTCCTGCAAAAGTGCCGTTGAGATCCACCCACCACATGCCTCTGATCCCTGTTGGAGCCTGTTTTCTCCTTTCTCCACTTAGCTCCGATTTTGTGCTTGTATTTTGATGGCATTGAGCCAGTCAGTGGGAGACAACTGGATTCCTCAAGCAAAAAGGTTTGAATTACCAGCCCTTTTCACAGCTTATTATTCACTTTCCTCTTCACATCTCAAAGCCCTGGGTGGTGACCCTGACAGTCTGCTGAGTTTCAGGTATCCACAGGTACTTTGCACCTCCGGGGAAGTGCCTGGCAAGGTGATCTGTCCCCCCACGCTGTGTTATCTCAGGGCACAGCAAAGTGCAGAAGCACTTCACCATTCAGCAGTGTTGGATGTTAAACACTCTTGTTGTAGGCACAAGAGCAAGAAGAAGGCGTTCACCAAGTACTGCAAGAAATGGCAGGATGAGGATGGCAAGAGGCAGCTGGAGAAGGATTTTGCAGCGATGAAAAAGTACTGCAAGGTCATTCGTGTCATTGTGCACACGCAGGTCAGAGCCTCAACCGGGGGGGTGGGCAAGGGGGGCTCAGGGTCTTCCTCAGCTCGGGAGCATGGTGAGAGCCTGGGATCACGGGGGTGTCTTGGTGGGGTCAGAGGAGGCTAAGCAGGCAGACGCCGGTCAGAGGGTGTGGGACAGGGCGTGCAGGTGATGGGAGGTGCTGGCTGACCTTCCCAGCTACCTCCTGACACCAACCCTGTCCTTCTGAGGGGGCTCAGCAGAGCTCCTTGCAGGGGGGCGCCGTGGGGCTGTGGCTTGGGCACGCTGGGGAGCCCACATGGCCGTGGAGGAGAGCAGACTTTGCACAGAGCCTCAAGCAGGTGGTGAGCCCTGTGTCAGCAAGGGCCCTTAGACCCCATGATCACCTCAAATTAGCAACTGGTGTCAAATGTTTTGGGCAAAAATAACCCACAGGGAGTTTTGCCAGATGCTGATTGCCAGGGACTGTTGTCATGCTGATCCCTGGAGTTAACAGCTTCTTTGGAGTCTGGGGCAAGAGCTAAGCTGGCTCAAGGCTTCACTTGTGGCTGGAACAGACCCTCAAAGTCCTACCGTGGTGATTTGGCAGGAACTTTGCCCAGGGGGCTGGGCCTGGGAGAGAGCGGATGCACTTCTCAGTGGGAACTAGAAATAATTGCTCAGTCTGGAAGCACAAGCAAAGGAGACTCTGGCTCAGAGCACAGAGCTGCATCCTGTCTGGTTGCATCATTTGGCCTCAGTGCTCTGGTGATGGGCTCCTCTGGGGAATTTACCATGGTTATTACTACTGTGCTTAACTCTTGGGGTAGGATGAGGCCAGCCTGTTCCTCCCTGGAGAGGGGGTGTGCATCAGCTCCTGCCTGGAATGGGAGCACTGGCAGATGGGGTGGCTGGGCTCAAGGACAAGGAGTTGGATGGAAGAGATATGTAGACATGCTGACCCAGGTTGCTGGCTGTTATGAAAGGGGTTGACAGTGTGGTGAGGAGGGGTGGTGAAGTGCTGGCCCTGCCCTCATGTTCATGCCTGCGAGGTGAGGAACAACATTTTGCCCTAATGTATTGTCTAATGCAGATGAAGCTGCTCCCGCTGCGGCAGAAGAAGGCCCACGTGATGGAGATCCAGCTGAACGGCGGGACGGTGGCCGAGAAGGTTGACTGGGTTCGTGAGAGGCTGGAGAAGCAGGTTTCCGTGCACAATGTCTTCAGCCAGAATGAGATGATTGATGTCATTGGCGTGACCAAGGGGCACGGGATGAAAGGTAGAGAGCAGGGACACCCTTGCCAGGGGCTTGGTTCTGTCCTTCTCATATGGCACTGCCCATAAGGTAGTGTTGAGGGAGGGGAGTGTTAGCCATGCTGAGAACCCACCAACTTATTGCACAGGGTGTAGCAAAGAGCCTCTGGACCTCAACCATGATGTGCAGTTCCATTGTAGCAGTGCTTGGTTTCCTTAATCTCAGTAAAGATCGTGTTGTCTGCCATGCCCAGAGTCCTCCCAGGAGGCTCAGAGGCAGTGTGAGCATGTAAACCCACCACAGTTTTCACAAACCCCCTGTGTGTGGAGGTGTGGGTGTTTCTGTGCGTGCGCGTGGATGTGCGCAGCGGGAACATATCACAGTCTGATTGGATCCATGGGAAGTGAGAACAGTTCTGTGCTCTGGGCCCTCATGGTGGTGACAGCTCTTGGGCTCCTTCCAGCACGGTGTCTTCGGAGAACGGCAGGAGAATGATGAGACTCTCCTCTCCCCAGCACTCAGATACCAGCCCTGAATCTCCCCGCTGTTCTCACCGCACTGTCCGGTCACACTTCCAGGGGTGACGAGCCGTTGGCACACCAAGAAACTTCCCAGGAAGACACACAAGGGCTTGCGCAAAGTTGCCTGTATCGGAGCCTGGCACCCAGCCCGGGTTGGCTACTCCATCGCTCGGGCTGGCCAGAAGGGCTACCACCACCGCACGGAGCTCAACAAGAAGGTATGACCCAGACGGGCTCCCTCAGAGCACTGCTGCACCTTCCTGCCTGCCTGCCTTCCTCCTGTGCTGTCACCGTCCTCCTTTGCCTGGTGGCCCCAGTTCCCCCCAAGCCTTCCTGATGTTTCCCTGGAGATTTGCAGTGCTGCTCTTCTCCATGTCTTTCCTGGTGCTTTTTCCCTGCTTGGGGGACACATTGCAGGAGACACATCTTGGTGAAAACTGCATCATCCCTGTGACATTGCTCAGTGAGGGGACAGGAAAGTCTTCATCTCCATTTCCTTTCTGTTCCTAGATATACCGTGTTGGCCGTGGGATCCACGTGGAGGATGGCAAAGTGGTGAAGAACAACGCCTCGACGCACTACGATATCACTGAGAAGACCATTACGCCTCTGGTAAGGGCTGAGGAGGTAACAGGGCTGTGACTGGCCCTGGCTGCAAAAATCTGAGCCAGGGAAGTAATTCCTTGGCTGGAGACAGCTGCATAGGAAATGATTTGAAGGAAATTCTCTGAAAGAAATACAGTTATTCCTTTCCTCATGTTTTGGACATGGAAAACCATCTCTGTGAAGTGTTTTTTTTAGGCCCACTGGTAAACCCAAACATTTAATTTTCAGTTGATAACCTGGGCAGGAAGGAAGTGAGAACTTTGTTTAAAAAGAAAAAGAAGTATAAATTACATTAAAAATCTGATATTAGATAAATATTTGTTACTTGGTTTAAAAATTCATTTTTTCTTATGAAAAACTGTTAGCTTGCGAGTCTAGCCAGCTCTTCTCTCTGTTCACCCATACCCTTCAGGGAAGGAAGCAGGATTACTGTTCCCCAGCTCTCACGGGGTGCTCCTGAGCTGGGATCATGCAGCCTGTGTGTCTGACATGCTCTGATGATCCTGAGCAGGCAACCTGAAGGGTGCAGAGTGTTGTTACAGAATCACAGAATCATCTAGGTTAGAAAAGACCCTGAAGATCACCTAGTCCAACTATTATATTATTAGCTGGAAGCACTGTCAGTCACTACCTTCTCCTTCCCTAGAAAATGCCACCCGTGGACATGTCTGCTCCCACCCAGCTCTCCTGCCTGCCAAACCTCTCTCTGTCTCTCCCTGCAGGGTGGCTTTCCTCACTATGGGGAGGTCAACAACGACTTCCTCATGCTGAAAGGCTGCGTCGTGGGCCCGAAGAAGCGTGTTCTCACCCTCCGTAAGGTGAGAGTGCAGCTGGCGCTGGGGAGGGACAATCTGTAGCTCTTCCGATGCTGGGCAGGGAGAGTGGTCAGGTCCTGGACACTATGTTTTAGAGGGCCTGTGGCACAGGAGTGCAGTGCTCAGGGAGAGCATTTGCAGTTAGACGGTTTGTGGCAGCATGCAGTCGGCTGTGCTCTCACTGGAGACAGAAGCTGCCAGCCTTTGAGGACTGTGGGGTCCACAAATGGAAACCTTGGCCCTAAGCAGATTGGGAGGAAATGAAATGCTCGTTTCAGAGCTGCTTTGCAATCCAAGGCATCACCTGCCACCTGAGCACCAGGGTGTTTCTCTGAGAAGACAGATATTTATGGAGATATTTGTCTCATGGATGCACCTAGAGTATTCCAGCCCTTCTTCCGTCACAGCACATGTCCAGATTTTCTGGAACGATAAGCCTGATTCACTGTGACTCTTCTTTTCCAGTCCCTTCTGGTGCATACAAGCCGCCGGGCTCAGGAAGCCATTGAACTCAAATTCATTGATACTACTTCCAAGTTTGGCCATGGCTGCTTCCAGACAGCTCAGGAGAAACGGGCTTTCATGGTGAGTTACGCTCTGTGCCGGCACCAGCTCCCAGGTTGTGCTCACATCCGGGGCTAAAGCAGCTGATCAACTCCAACCAAGCATCTGCTTCCCAATACAACAACAGTCAAATAAGTGATCGGGACTGTCTTGCATAAAAGACAGGCATGAATTCAATTCACACAGCAGATATTATGCTAAGGAGGAACATGATGGTTGTGTGAGTGATCCAAGACAAGCCAACTAGCAAATAATCTACCATATGGCCAAGCAGTTTCCATTCACCACGGGATGTTTTAAACAAGCAGTTAACTTGGCAGGCACTGCGTTGGACATATGGTCCCTTTCACCCGTAATTGTGCACTTCTTTGATTTGTTTGGAATGATTTATAACTTGAATGTCCTTAAGAGGAAAAGATTGGGTCAAATTCAGACACAAATTTGTGATTCTTTTGTCAAGAAGCTTTCAAAAAGGCCAAGTGGTATATTTTTTTAAATCCGGGGGGGAAATAATTAAATAAATCCAAAATGAGTGGAGTTTCTGCAACCTACACCAGGCTGGTGCATAACTCTGAATGTGAAATTGAGGAAATGTTAAGTAAGCCAGGCCTTCAGCAAGCAGAAATGAAAGAAACAACTGCCTGGATACCACGCAGACGTAAACTGTGTCTGGATCTGGCCTGTCAGCTAGAAATCCCATGTGAAACTAGCTAAGCCTCCTTAGCCCTGGGAAGGGGGATTGGGTATGCCATGTCTTTGCAGAGCTCTTTAGAGGTTAAGCTGATTTCCTTTATCTCAGTGTTAGGAGCTTGTTCTGTGTTCTGCTCTTGCTGTCACTGCAAGTCCTGAGTAGCTGTGACATGGATCTTAGCGATGGGAAGTGTTTTTACCAGGTTGCAGCTGTTTTCTTCCCCATTTTCTACTGTGGGGTGAGATTTTTCCCCCATGTATACTGTAGTAAAACTACGTTTAGCTGGAAGTGGAAGCACATCAGTAATTCTTGCCATCTTCTCCCTTAGGACTTATTTGGTCTGGGACAACCCCATTTCTTAGCTGGTGGAAAACTCTCGGGCTCTGTGGGGTTGGCTGATGAGAATCTGTGCCTTTGTGCCACTCCTCAGCCCACTGCTGCTTCCCTCCACATCCCCCAACTGCAGGCCAGCCCGCCTGGCTCGGAGCAGCTCACTCATTGCCTCTCTCTGCTTTTGTGCAGTTTAGAGAAACAAACCCTTTGTGCGAGGGCAATGATGTTCCGCTCCTGATTGCTACAGGGCTGGGGAGGCCCCGGGAGAGGGGTGGGGTGGGGTGTGGGGCTGGTGGATGGTGGCACAGAGCTGCAGGCTGGGGAGCAGACACCAGGAGCAGCCTCAGAATCACAGAATCATTCAGGTTGGAAAAGACCCTTTGGATCATCAAGTCCAACCATCAGCCCTACTCTACAAGTTCTTCCCTATCCCACATCCCCCAACAGCTCATCCAAACGACTCTTAAACACATCTAGGGATGGTGACTCCCCCTCTCCCTGGGCAGCCTATTGCACTGTCAGACTACTCTTTCTGTGAAAAATTTTTTCCTAATGTCCAGTCTAAACATCCCCTGTTGGAGTTTAAAGCCGTTCCCTCTTGTTCTATTGCTAATTACCTGTGAGAAGAGACCAGAAAGGGGCCAGAGCTGCATTTCTGCTCCCAGCTGCTCAGCTGCAGCTTTGTAGGCTGGGTTCATCTGCCACTAACACTGAGACCTCTCCTCTCTGTTCTCTTCCAGGGCCCTCAGAAGAAACATTTGGTGAAAGGGAAGCCAAGCGCGCAGGAAGGGCCGTAAGCACTGAGATACACAAGGCTATCTAACTGGGCACTTGCAATAAAGGGGTTTCAAGCCGTGCCTGCAGCCTGTTTTCCTTCTGGAGGGGTGTCTTGCCTGTGTTCAGCGCTGCCTGTGTGCAGCAGTGTGTCTTCAGGGCTCCTCAGCAGGCGGGGATAGGATGAGTAGTGTTTGGGACTGGCCCATACGGACAGGGACTAACTGGGACAGACAACTGTCTGCTCTGTTCTCTGGATCCTCCATTTCATTTGCCCAGTGAATTTTTTCCCACTGCCTGCATTCACCCAAACCAGGGTGAAGACTCCCCTTCCTCTCTTCCAGAGGAGAGCAGGGCAGGGACCAGCACTTCTGCCCCAGTTTCTACTGGGAATACAGTGCTTCCCTGTTACCTGCCTCTGCCTGGTCTTGCTGCCCATCTCTCCTCTCACTGCCTCTTGCACTCACACACCCAGGCCCTCCTTTTGCTGAGCTGTGGACTCCTCTCTGCACAAAGCCTCACAATCCCGGCCAGCATCCTCTGCAGATGTGGGAACTTGTATACAATAAGATGGCTGCTAGGTAAAGACTGGGCAGTGATGGATTTATTCAGATTTTGGCCTCATTTCCCACCCATGTTTTCCTTGCAGTCCAGCTGCCTGCAGGGAGGGTGTGATGTATCTTGGAGCTGTGATGTCTTGGATCAGCAGTGACCACAACTCCCTTCAGTGCAGAACCAGCCTGGGCGTCCTGCATCCTCTTTGGGAACCAGACAGTGGAAAGCCCCGTTCAGAGCTGCTGCCTTGACCAGGAGTCCTGGGAACTGGTGGGAGCTGCGTGAAGTTCTTGGGTTTCCAGCAAACCCCTTGCCCTGTGTCTGGTTCTGCTCTGAACATGTGCTTGCAGTATTTAAGGAGGAGGCTCATCTGCCAAAGTGCTGAGGATGAGATGAACTGAGCTCAGAGGCCACAGCATAGGCTGGTGTGCAGTCAGTGGCCAGGCCCTGGTTGGCCTCATGTCCCAGCGAGGTCCCTGAGCTCTGTGGGTGCCTCTGCCCTGGCTGTGGGGCTGCGGTTCAGAGCCTTTTGTCCCCCTTGGCCAGGGGGTCCTGGGACAGTCCCACAGTGGTTGGCTGAGGATCCAGGCGAGAGCGCATGATGGGAATGATGAGGTCGTCCATGTTTGGCATCACCAAAATTTTCTGAAAAGAGGAATCCAGAGTAACAATAAGTGGTTTTGAATGCCACTACCTGACTGGTAACACATCGGCTGGGAAGTGGCCTTGGCAGGAGCCACACTCGAGTCGGTGTCTCCTGTGAAGAGAAGGTTCTGGGCTCCCACCCCCTCAGCAGCAACCAACTGTGCCTGGACCTGGAAGGTCATCAGCTTGGGGTATCACAAGGTGGAGACAAACAGGAGCAGTTTTTCCTTGCCCTGCCCACCTGTATGGCTTCAGGGGTGGTCATGGCAGAAGCCGTTCAAATGGACAGCGATTTGGGGGGATGTGGGTACTTAAATACCTGTGGGAACATTCTGCTCTTTGACCAGAGGTCTCAAACGCTGGAAACAAACCAGTGGGTACCATGTCATGGTAAATCTCCCAACATCCCAAACCAGAGTGGAGGGGTGAATTCAGCCCTTCTGGGGGGTGTCTGCCTGGGAGTTGCTGACACTTGTTGCTGCCCCCTGCTTGGGGCAGGGCTGCACATTCTGTGAGGAAACAGCTTTTCCTCAGCACTCAAGTGCTCAAGGGCACCAGCCCTTAGAGCTGGTTATTCTGGTTGTGTTTCTTGACTGTCCAAAGCTGGACAGACCAGATCAGATGTTTTTTTGTAGAGATAACCCTGACCCCAACTGAGGTGTGATTATCCCCGATCACAGCAATGCCCATACTTCAGCAGGGTTTTGCTGAGCCCTTTAATAGACCAAGGCACCTGAAATTCATGCTGCAGCTTCTTCTCGATCCACTCGGTGACATGGAGGAAGGTCACCTCCCTCTCCCCCAACTTTGGGCGCACCTTCAGCTCCAGCTGAGGTGGGACTCGGAAGCTGTACCTGCAAGGGGAAAGAAGCAGAGAGCAACATATCCCAAAGCCCCAGAGCTGGCTCCTTGGCTGAGCCTCAGGGAGCAAGGGGAGCTGGAAGGGGGATGTGTGTGGGTTCCTGTAGGGGAGGAAGAAGAGCTGGTACCAGACACGGTCTGTTGGTGGTGGGGGAATGTTCACGGCCAAGGTGCCTGCCAGCTCCTGCACCTCCACTGTCAGCAGCAGCGGTGTGTTAGAAACCTCCTCGATCTTCTTTTTGATGAACTCATTTTCAGTGGCTTTCTGGAAGTACTTGGACTTGGCAATCTTATCCACAAAGCGCAGGATCTTCCGGCTCGTGCTGTTGCTGCTGATGTGGCTAAAGCAAGGGGAGCCCCAGCTCAGCAGTGGGGTGACACCCAGAGCCATGCTGCCTTTCGGCATCCCCCAGCCATCTGCTGCAGCCCCCTGCAGGGACCAGAGTCCCCTCTGAAGGCTGCCATGATGTGCCTGTCTGTGCCTTCCTGGGGAAACCGGCCCTGAGCTCCTGTGCTGGCATAGCCCTGTGCCTCCCCCAGCATCTCCCCAACAGCCCCTTTTACCCCTCGGCGCCAGGCGGTGGGACCCGCTCCCCCAGGACTCCCGCGGGCTCTGCGGCGGTGACATCTTCCTCGTCGGAGGAGCCAGCACTGGACGACTCTGCATCGCTGTCTGCTAGCAGGATCAGCCGTGGCCTGGCCCTGTGAGCCCCGAGGAGCATTATGGGGGTGCCCTGGGCCAGCACACTCTCATCTCGCTCAGGCAAGAGGAGGAAGATGAAACCCAGCCATGCACAGTCTGCTTACCTCTCTCCGCCCGCCTCTGCCGGGCCACTCTCCTCTGCAGCACTCTCCTTCCCCAGCTTGCAGAGGTTCATCTTCGTCTCCAGTGTCATCTGCAACGAGCCGCTGTAGGTCACCTCTATATCCACCCAGAGCCCTGCCAGGGAGAGGGACAGGGTGAGCCCCTGTCAGCGCCGCAGCGGCTGAGGGCTGATCATGTGCCTGCTGAAACCTCCCTGCTTTGGGGAGCGGGCTGGCACCTTGGTAACAGCTGCTGTGGAGCCAGCCCTGGGGTCTCTGTTGCTCTTCAGGGCTCACCTTGGTCATTGATGGTGGGGTTGGAGGCGCTGAGGACTGAGGGGATGGATGTGCCCATGTCCAGCTCTGTTAGCGTCAGCTCATTCATGAAATAAGGGAGCTGATGGAGGGAAACCACACGGGGACAGTCATCGCAGCCTGGCACCCACCATGGGGCCTTGGGGATGGGGCTCTCTGGGTGCTCTGCTGCTCCTGCCTCTCACCTTGATCTTGCTCAACTTCTTCTGGATCTTGCTGGACACTTGCTCCGCCCAGTATCGCTCCCGGAGGAAGTCCCAGAAGATGCGCCCCACCAGCGCGTTCATCCAGGCCATGCACGATGCCTCGCTTCGCCCGCCTGTGTCCTCAACGAGCTGCAGAGGGACAGAAGCCACAAGCCCCTGGAGTGAGGTGGCCCTATGAGCAGTGGGACCCACTGGCCAGGGGCTCCCCTGCACCACGGCTTGACTGCTCCAACTGTCATGTGCTGGGAGGGACAAGATGAACCCCTGGACTGGAAATGGCTCCACGCAGAGTGTCACCCTCTGTGTAGCGCTCATGTCCCGCTCCCAGTGCTGGGTTTGTCCCACTCACCTTTGTGGGTGTGGGGCTGCCCAGTGCTCCATGAGAGGGGCTCCGGTCCAGGCTGCCCCCACCCTGCGCTGGCACGAATCGGGCCATGTAGGTGCTGTAATCCAAGAAAATCTGTCGGATGCTTCCTGCCAGCTCCTTGGGTGGGACAGTGGAGGGAATGTCCTCAGCGCTCCCCCCGCTGCTGCTGCCACTGCTCTGCAGAGCTGGTCCTACGCCTGGGGACATGAGTGGGTCAGGATGGCACGAGAGGTGACTGATGGCAGCGACCTGCCACCCACCCTATGCTGGCGAGGGGGATCCTACAGGCTCTCCCTGCTGCTGCACATGCTCTGGGATCCTTCATGTCCCCCCACGCCCGCTGCTGCCTGCCAAGGGCTTGTCCTCCCGGCACAGGCACAGCTCCCACCCCAGATCAGTCCCAGCATGGAGCAGAGGCCACGACAGCTGCTTCTCACCTGCCCTGGCCTCGCCGTGGCTGCTGCTGGGTGTCTGGCGGGAGGCTCGCACGAGGTGCTGGTACCACTCCTCCTTCTCCCTGCCTGTCCGCCCGAAAAGGTACAGGCACCTCTCCCTGCAATTCTCCGGGACATCCTGCCCCGGTACCAGTGCCTTCTTTGTGCCTTCATCCCTCTGCAGCTCCACATCCTGCTCCTCGCTGCTCCTGCTCTCCACATCTGCCGGGTCAGGGAGGAGGATGCAGATGGGGTATTTCTTGTTCCACGTCCGCTTTCGGGCCAGGCTGGGGGGACAGAGGAAGACCTGCAACACCGAGAGCGGCGGTGAGGCCGGGCCAGGGTGTGGGGTGCTGGGGGTGCCTGCGGAAGGCTCCTTGGCACTGCCAGGCTCACCTTGGCGTCGGTCAGGTTGTAGCAGCGGTGGCTGATGAAGACAGGGTCGAGGATTTCCTCCTCGAAGGTGGCTCGGCGTGGGATGTTGCTCTTGGGGTAGGAGAGCTTGAGAGTGGCCCCATCCAGTACGGCGAGCACCGAGTGCGTGAGTGAGGGGTGGAAGAGCTCGGGGTCATAGACGTGCAGCTGGTTCATCCAGCCCTGGGTGGGGGAGAGGGAGCTGGCTGCTTCCCGCTGTGCTGTAGCCGGCACCTGCCACAGGCTCGGTCCCCGCCTTGGTGCTGCACCTCCAACCACCTCCCCCGCATCCCATGCCGGACCACCCTTCTCCTACCTGGAGGTGGTGGGTTTCTTGCAGCTCCCCCGGGAGCAGCTTGGGGCGCAGGCAGCCCTGTGGTCCCCGTGTCACCAGCGGAGGCTTTGGCACGAGGAGGAGGACAGCGAGGAAGCCCAGCACCAGCCCGCAGAGGAGTCCCAGGCAGAGGCCGGCGGCGTAGGGCGGCAGGGGCAGGACGAAGTAGCCATAGGCAAGGAGGGCGATGGAGACGAGGGCTCTGCCCGGCACTGTGCCCCCTGGCTGTGCCGGTGGCGGCTCCTTGGGGGGTCGCAGCTGGGGTTCGACATCCTGCTGTGCCACCTCCACCACCTGGATCACGTCCCCGTAGGAGCAGATCTCGTAGCGGCAGTTCAGGGTGGGCTCCCAGGGGCTCCAGTCCTGCACCCGGTGTCCCCCAGCCCCACGGCCCCCCATCTGCCCGGGGCTGCCGCCTGTCTCCTGCCCCCCAGCACCCGCCTTCGCCCGGGGTACAGGGCCGCTCTCCTCGGCCATGAGCCGGCTGAGCCGGTTGAGGGGCTCCTGCACGGCCTCTGACAGCCGCCTCTTGGTGTCCTCCAGCCTGGCCTCGCGCAGCCGGAGCAGGGCAGCACGGCTCTCCGATGGGGAGACGCTGGGGGAGGACGGGGCCGTGCGGGACTTGGCCGGACTCAGCCGGGGCTGGGGGGCCCGCGGGAAGTCAGCCAGGAGCATCCCCCTGGGCTGGGGTGAGGGGGTTGGCTTTGTGTCCCCATCCATGGTGAAAACAAGCCCACAGCCATCCCGGCCGCCACTGTCCTCCCTGGTGCTGGTGGGATGGGCCGTTAGGTCATCGGTGTCCCTGCGCTGAGGCGAGCCCGGCGATGGTGCCAGGGTGGGAGAGGCGTCCGCCGCAGCCGCAGCCTGGTCTGCCATCGCTCGCATCGCCGACAGCACCTGTGCTGCCCAGGGAATGGGGGGAAGCAGCTCAGCTCTGTGCCACCTCAAGGCACAGCATGGCCCTGCCCTGGTCCTTCCTTCCCCATTGGCATCACCGTAAGCCACCGAGCAGCAGCAAGGTGCCCCCGGGGTCCCCATCAGCGTGAGCCAGGAGCCTTCCAGCCTATTTCAGGATGCTCGTGGGGCCATGGTGCTGCCAGCGGACAGGCTGCTCATGGCTCTCCCTGTGCTTCCCAGCAGGGATGGGATGGAGAAGGCACACGAGCTCAATGACAGCGTGTGGGGAACTGCTGCCTCTATAATGAGGATAAACCTCAGCCAGGCCATTAGCAACAGGACCTCTGAGAACCCAGAGCCACAAGCCAGGTGTGCAGCAAAACAAGGGGGGATTTTCCCACACTGGGACATTACGTTGGTCATGCAAGCACAGGGGGCTGTGAGGAGGGATGCAACGCAGGCAGGGCTCTGACTCCTCTAAATGCTTTTTGCTTAACTGACAGTGGTTTGGCCCTTGCTTAACGCATTGCATGAACCTGAAATGAGGCAAGCTCGAGTCATGGCCCCTGTTTAGCGTGAGGTTGCCCTGGAAGCAGGGGGTTGGTAATCTGTTTTTACTGCAGGGGCACAGAAGTTTTCCCAACAAGTTTCTGTAGCCCTGAGGGTGTTCCTGGCCATGGCAAAGTGTTGTCCCATCCCCAACAGGCACTGTGACCCCTCGATCGCTGCGCTCCTGCCAAAGCAATGGGGCCGACCCTGCTCCTGAGCTGTTCCCCCTGTGTGATTTTGGGAGGGGGTTCTTGGGGTGCTCGAGCTCTGCCACTGCCCTCTTCCTCTGGCAGCACCCCTGTGGCAGGAGCAGGGCCGCTGTCCCAGGGGTGCCGGGGCTGAGCAGGACCCTGCTGCCGGCAGGTGCTGCTCTACAGGCGGCCTCACACCCAGCAGCCGCGTCGCCCTGGATCTTTAAAGCACTTCACTGCCACAAATTAATTACAGGCTGTGCCGCAGCTGCCGCCAGTGCCGTTTATATAATCTCACGTTCTGTGGTTTTCGTTTTGCTTCTGATTTACAGGAGCCACTTGTTAACCCCAAATAATCTGTGGGTGATTATCCTGGTGATACCCAGCTCCAGTCAGGAACTGAGGCTGTGGGGCTGGCACCATCCAGCCTGTGGGCAGAGCTGCCAGCACTTCTGGCACCACTGGCAGCCCCCGGCAGACGGAGCGGTCTGTGGCACCAGGCAAAGCACTGAAACAGCAAAACAGGGAGCAAGCAGAAGAAAATGGGCCTGAGAAGGGATCTCATCCCTAACGCCCACTTAAGCCCCTCATCATCCATATTTCTCAGTGGCCTCATGCCACAGTCATCCCCAGTATCCCCACCGCCCTCGCCAGCCCTCAGCCGTGCCTACCAGAAAGCCCCAGGGCTGGTCTTTGGCTGGTCCTGCTTGGTCACTGCTCCCCGTTCCTGCCGAGTTAGGGAACCCTGTGCTGGGCGAGGGCTTGGCCCTCTGCTCCGCCGTGCCTGGATTTTTGTTACCAGTGCTCTGGTATTCGTGGGTTTTAAAAGCTAAAAAAAAAAAAAAAAAAAAAAAAAAAAAAAAAAAAAAAAGAAGACTGTTTCCTGAGAGACCATTAGCACAGTGGAAGACGGAGATAATAATAGCCTGGGTTTGTATGGGAGTTTTCATCTGGCAGAGACGTCAAGTGCAGTGGGGACTATAGATATGCTGCTGAAACGCAGCCACCCCTAGGGAGTGTGGGTGTCCAGGAGGGTGGGGAGCACCAGGGATGGACCCTACTGGGTGCCACGGCTGGGCCACCAGCACCCCGAGATGGAGGGTCCACCTGGAGCAGCCCCAGTGAGGGGTTTGCTACTGGCTCAGGCTTCAGACAGTGAATAGGGAGCCCAGAGGTGCCCCTGGAGCTGGCTCCTCAGTGCCAGCGCTAACCATCCGTCCCACCCAGAGCTCATCCTCAGCCTGTGACTGAGGAGGTGTGCAGGGAGAAAGTGAATATGAAGATCCTTGCAAGTATTTTCAGACACTGGGGGTGGCTGGGTGGGCACAGCTGGGGGATTAGGGAACATTCCCCACAGGCTCCACACAGCACCTGCCTTGCGGGGTTCTGCGAGTGGTACCCAGAAGGGATCGGTGCTGTGCGGGATGTCCCTTTGGCGACTGCAGGTTGGGACACCTGGCTGGGAAGGTGACATCTCTGCAGAGCCTTGAGAGCTGTGAGTGCCCCAGCTGGGCAGGGACACAAGATCCCTAAAGACTGCTGACCCCTTGCGCTGCTCTTGGAAACAATGAAGCCATAAACATCAACAAGCCTCTCTGCTGGACCCAGGCTCTGAAATTCCGATCTTGGGACTTCACGGGACACGGAGACAAGCGGCGGCCTGGACTGGGCTGGTGTCTTTGAGAACCTCCCCCCCCAGATGCTCCCTTGACATGCCCAAGGCAGCAGGACCCTCTGCGGCACAGCATGGCACGGCATGGCACATCACAGCACGCCCTGCTGTTAGCTCAGTCCAGAGTGCAATACCTACAAACCACCTGGAAAGAGAAAGTTTCCCCACGCCGGGGGCTGCCCCATCAGTGCCCTGAGCTGCTCGCTCCCAGGTGGGCACTGCTTTTGCTGTAAAATCAGGGAGAGTTGATTGGAGAATTAATTTCCAGCCGCCCTCTCCAGTTAATTAGAGGTGCCGGTGGCTGAAGCAAAGGGCTGGCACTGCTGGCGGGGACGGTGGCACAGCTCTGCCTGGGCGCAGAGGCTTTTATCACCCTGCCAAACGAGCTGGAAATCCCCCATCTAATTATTCCCACAATATACCGCTACAGAAACCAAATTGCTGTGGTTATTAGCGATGTAACTGGAGAGCTCTCTGCATTATCCCGTGATTAAGGAGTGTGGGGCTTTGAAGAAAGTCTCACTGCAACCTCAAGACATAACTTTGAGCAATGGGAGATGCCAGCTCCATCTTCTGCTCCTGCTTCCACAACACATTGCTCCTTCTCAGGGGGTTTACTGGTGGATACTGGAGCAGATTTCATGCTGCTGCAGGACTGAGGAGCCGGGCAGGCTTCAGCACTACACAAATGGCTCCAGGGTGGCTGTGCCCTCTGGGATGCTCAGAGCCAGCCAGCCTCAGCACCCAGCACCCACCTGGTCCCCCAGCGACCCGCTCCCAGATCCTCCCTCCAACCCTTTGCTGTCCCAGGGCTTGAGCTCAGCCCTCCACTACAGACTTTGCTTCACCCCCACATCTCAGCCGTCCCCGTCCTCTGTCCGTCCTCCCAAGACCTTTGTGTCCCCCGTGGCGCGGCCCTGGCAGCTCTGGGGAGAGCTCTCAGCCCTGGTTTCACCCAGATGCAGTGCTAGGGAAGGACCCAACCACTTCACCCATTTATTTCATTCGTGCAGGCACTGCTTCACCCTCTAAATTCTGGCCAGCAGCAGGCGTCCGGGTGGACGATGCTGCTGAGGTGCAGGGTCCCAGTGGTGGGTGGGGCTCCCACCACTGGCTGAAAATCTGCACCCCAAAGGTGTACACGGCCCTTGAGTCTATCTGGAACCCTTCCTGACACCCCACTGGTCTAATCTCAGTGGACTGTAAGGGAGATGCTTTCAAAACAGTACGCCACCCGTTCTCCGCGCGGTGACACGGTGCATCCTCAGCTCCCCCCCACCCCACGGTGCTGCAGGGAGAGCCCCTTCCTCCCTTTGCCTGGGCGCCTGCCACGAATCCCCAATCCCTGGGGCTGGAGCGGGGAGCTCAGCTTGCTCGAGATGAAAGCCTGACCTAATTCAAACCGGCAGCATCCAGCGGGCAGGAGCATCGCCAGCGCTGGCCCCACGCCGGGGGTTTCCATGCTGGGCCCAGCCCTGGGGTGAGCTCATGGCTGATGGACACGTCCATCGGCGCTGGGGAGCAGCGACCCATCCAAGGGCTTTGCTGGGGGCTGCAGGGCTCCGGCAGCAGGACTGGCTCCTCGGGACAGTCCCCAGCTTCTCTCCAAAGGCTGCCGGTGTTTTTGCTCTTGCACCAAGGGTGATGCGAGTTCCATGAGAGCCCACCGAGTGAGGACTCATCCAAGGGTCCTCAGAGAAAATGAGGGAAGAGACTTGTGGTGCTTTTTTTTAGGGGGGAAGGAAAAGGAAACCGCATGCAGCTCATCCCCTCCTGGAGCCTGCCAAGGAGCCGGCTGCCTGCGGTTCACCTTCAAAGCCCTTACCTTGCCAGGCGCCGGCCTGCTGCCTCCTCCTTCTCGGGGAGCCCCATGCACCCCACGAGGGGACACAGCTCAGCCCCCCCGTCGCCTCCCCGCAGGGTCCCTACGGGTGACCCCCTGGCTCCTGGGGTGGTGGGACGGGTGGTCCCCGCTGAGCCTGCACCCACACCCCATCCACCGGGACCCTGGGGGGTGCGTGGGGAGGGTGGGGGGAACCCCCGGTTTGTCCCAAGAGCTGCCCAACCTCCATCACCCACCGCGGGCAGCGCTGCCGGTACCTGGGCCAGGTCCCGGTGAGCCGGGGAAGGGTCGGTCCTGGTGTGGGAGAAGGACAAGCGGTCCCGGTGCTG